AGGACATTGTGATGTGTGTGGAGGGACATTGTAATGTGCATGGAAGGACATTGTCATGTGCATGGAGAGACATTGTCATGTGCGTAGAACGACATTGTCATGTGTGTGGAGGGACATTGTGATGTGTCTGGAGGGACAATGTCATGTGCGTGGAGGGACATTTTCATGCGTGTGGAGGACATTGTTATGCGTGTGGAGGGACATTGTCATGTGCATGGAGGGACATTGTCATGTGCGTGGAGGGACATTGTCATGTGCATGAAGGGTCATTGTTATGTGCATGGAGGGACATTTTCATGCGTACGGAGGGACATTGTCATGTGTGTGGAGGGACATTGTCATGTGTGTGGAGGGACATTGTCATGTGCATGAAGGGTCATTGTCATGTGCATGGAGGGACATTGTGATGTGTGTGGGGGGACATTGTGATGTGTGTGGAGGGACATTGTGATGTGCGTGGAGGGACATTTTCATGCGTGTGGAGGACATTGTTATGCGTGTGGAGGGACATTGTCATGTGCATGAAAGGTCATTGTCATGTGCATGAAGGGTCATTGTCATGTACGTGGAGGGACATTGTCATGTGCATGGAAGGACATTGTGATGTGTGTGGAGGGACATTGTAATGTGCATGGAAGGACATTGTCATGTGCATGGAGAGACATTGTCATGTGCGTGGAGGGACATTGTGATACGTGTGGAGGGACATTGTGATACGTGTGGAGGGACATTGTCATGTGTGTGGAGGGACATTGTGATGTGTGTGGAGGGACATTGTGATGTGTGTGGAAGGACATTGTGATGTATGTGGAGGGACATTGTGATGTGTGTGGAGGACATTGTCATGCGTGTGGAGGGACATTGTCATGTGTGTGGAGGACATTGTCATGCGTGTGGGGGGACATTGTTATGCATGTGGAGGAAATTGTCATTCGTGTGGAGGGACAATGTCATGTGCGTGGTGGGACATCGTCATGTGTGTGGAGGGACATTGTCCTGTGTGTGGTGGGACATTGTGATGTGTTGGAAGGACATTGTCATGTGCTTGGAGGGACATTGTCATGCGTGTGGAGGGACATTGTCATGTGCATGAAGGGTCATTGTCATGTGCGTGGAGGGACATTTTCATGCGTGTGGAGGACATTGTTATGCGTGTGGAGGGACATTGTCATGTGCATGGAGGGACATTGTCATGTGCGTGGAGGGACATTGTGATGTGCATGAAGAGTCATTGTTATGTGCATGGAGGGACATTTTCATGCGTGTGGAGGGACATTGTCATGCGTGTGGAGGGACATTGTCATGTGTGTGGAGGGACATTGTCATGTGCATGAAGGGTCATTGCCATGTGCATGGAGGGACATTGTCATGTGCGTGGAGGGACATTGTGATGTGTGTAGAGGGACATTGTGATGTGCGTGGAGGGACATTTTCATGCATGTGGAGGACATTGTTATGCGTGTGGAGGGACATTGTCATGTGCATGAAGGGTCATTGTCATGTGCATGAAGGGTCATTGTCATGTGCATGGAGGGACATTGTCATGTGCATGGAGGGACATTGTCATGTGTGTGGAGGGACATTGTCATGTGCATGGAGGGACATTGTCATGTGCATGAAGGGTCATTGTCATGTGCATGGAGGGACATTGTGATGTGTGTGGAGGGACATTGTTATGCGTGTGGAGGGACATTGTCATGTGCATGAAGGGTCATTGTCATGTGCATGAAGGGTCATTGTCATGTGCGTGGAGGGACATTGTCATGTGCATGAAGGGACATTGTCATGTGTGTGGAGGGACATTGTCATGTGCATGGAGGGACATTGTCATGTGCATGAAGGGTCATTGTCATGTGCATGGAGGGACATTGTCATGTGCGTGGAGGGACATTGTGATGTGTGTGGAGGGACATTGTCATGCGTGTGGAGGGACATTGTCATGTGCACAGAGGGACATTGTCATGTGTGTGGAGGGACATTGTCATGTGCATGGAGGGACATTGTCATGCATGTGGAGAGACATTGTCATGCATGTGGAGGACATTGCCATGCATGTGGATGGACATTGTCATGCGCGTGGAGGACATTGTCATGCGTGTGGAGGACTTTGTCATGCGTGTGGAGGGACATTGTCATGTGCGTGGAGGGACATTGTGATGTGTGTGGAGGGACATTGTGATGTGTGTGGAGGGACATTGTCATGTGTGTGGAGGGACATTGTCATGTGAGTGGAGGGACAGCCTTTTGATTGTTCTTTCATGTGTTTTTAACTTGTAATTTTTCATAAATATATAGCCCTAGTGGTAGGTATATAACAGGGGCTATGCCATTCATTGACAATCATTTGCTATGATTGTCTTTTTCAGAAAGAAGGTGGCTTATCAGAGGATGATTTGATGAAAGCTATGGGTGGTATGAATTTAGAGGAAGGTTTAGATATGGACTTTATGCCAATGATGCAAAATATGATGCAAAATCTACTTTCAAAAGAAGTGCTTTATCCATCAGTTAAAGAAATAGTAGAAAAGGTAAGGTTTGTACAGCGCCCTCAGTGTTGACTTTGGAATAACATCTGTTTATAGCGCCCTCTATTTCTTGAGGATTGCTGTTGAATTTGTGCAGTTTGTATAAGAGGCTTAGCCAGAATATTGGAACTAATCCATTGCCCACAAATCATTAACTAGTAAACTCATTATTAGTAAAACAAAAGAAAATGGTTTGCCACCCGACTACAAAGAAGCTGGTAAAAACACTTGCTTGTATTATAGTGTTGTAAATTGAAAGATTAACATATTGTAATTGGGTCTGGCTATTCTGCAAATTCATCTCTGACATGAAACAAACCCATTTTTTGTCCTTACGTGAGGCTCTAATCATGGATGTCATAAGTAATTTAAATCACGGTTACATTTTTAGTAATCGTTTTTAGTGCTTTAATTGATTTAACTATTTGTGCCAAGTTTTCTTCAATCTATTTTCATCCAAAAACTATGCTCTTGGTAATACATCAGTAACCAAACATTTCAACCCATATCATAATTGTATGTTCTTCACCTTTCTGGTTTTATTGACTCTTCTTATCATTAACTTTTAGTATCCCATGTGGTTAGAAGAAAATAAAAGTAAATTGAAAGCTGAAGAATATAGTGCATATGAATTACAGCATGAAACAATGAAATCATTATGTGATGAATATGAGTCTGAAAATGTAGCGGATTCTGATCAAGTGAAAAAGGAAAGATTTGAAAGAATTATGCAAACAGTACAGAAGGTAAGTTAATACTGGAGGTGTTTTTTTTTTGTAAACTTATTTGCAGCACTGTTGTGAAAGATTTTATTTCAACATGGTTCACCAAAAATAATATATGCACCGCTAAGTCTACCAAAACAAATTGTTTCAGTTGAGTGGACCTCTCATTTATTCATTCAGCTAGGGGGACCTGTCATTTATTCTTTCAGTTGAGTGGACCTGCCATGTATTCATTCATTTTGAATTAAACTATGCATATTAATTATCTAATTTGTATGATAATGAGCTCTAGGACTGACATAAAGAAAACAGTGAACACTGACATAAAGTGAGCTCAGAACTTGAACTTCAGGTAGACACTAAAGGCAACTGCCTCATTGCCCTAGGAGTTTGCCTTGGTGACCTTCAAATACAGATTTACCTTATGCTGTTCCTAATCCTAGTTTCAAGTCGTGTAAGGTACCGGTAGTACAATATTTGCTCAGTTAGTTGGGCCCGTGATGTAACATTTCAGTTGAGCAGACCTTTCATGTATTCATTCAGCTAGGGGGCTCTGTCATGTGTCATTTCAGTTGAGTGGACCTTTCATGTATTCATTCAGCTAGGGGATCTGTCATGTATCATTTCAGTTGAGAGGACTTGTCATGTATTCTTTCAGCTAGGGGGACCTGACATGTATCATTTCAGTTGAGTGGACTTGTCATGTATTCATTCAGCTAGGGGGACCTGACATGTATCATTTCAGTTGAGTGGACCTTTCATGTATTCATTCAGCTAGGGGGATCTGTCATGTATCATTTCAGTTGAGTGGACCTTTCATGTATTCATTCAGCTAGGGGGATCTGTCATGTATCATTTCAGTTGAGAGGACTTGTCATGTATTCATTCAGCTAGGGGGACCTGACATGTATCATTTCAGTTGAGTGGACTTGTCATGTATTCATTCAGCTAGGGGGACCTGACATGTATCATTTCAGTTGAGTGGACCTTTCATGTATTCATTCAGCTAGGGGGACCTGACATGTATCATTTCAGTTGAGTGGACTTG